CTGTAAAATGACATAAAATATGTTAGTATATTCAGAGTTGTAAAACTATAATTGCTAGTTTTAGAATCTTTTTATCACGCCTATACACCTGAGCAAACACTTTCCGTCTTTCTCTTTCCCTGGAATCACTAGTCAATTTTCTGTCTCCTCTGCACATTTCATGCAAACATACCAGATAATATGTGGCCTTCTGTGTTCGATTTTTTCTCACCTAACATTGCATTTATGAGGTTCATTCACACTGTAGCACACCTTAGTTCTTTTTTATGGTGGAGAACTGCCAGATGTGCAGTCTGGGTTTAGAAGAGGCTGTGGTACTAAGGATATATTATAGCTAGATGGATCTTGGCTGAAAGCAGAGAGTACCAGAGGGATGTCTATCTGTGCTTCATTGATTATGCAAAGGCATTTGACTGTGCGGATCACAACAAACTGTAGCTGACTCTTAGAAGAATGGGAGTCCCAGAACATCTGATCGTACTTATGCAAAACCTATAGTTGGACCAGGACACAGTCGTCAGAACAGAGTAAGGAAACACTGCATGGTTCAAAATCAGGAAGGGTGTATGCAAGGGATGTGTCCTATCTCTATATTTTTTCATTCTATATGCACAACAGTAATCCGGGAGACTGGGCTCTATGAGAAGAGATGTAGCATCAGAATTGGAGGAAGACTCATCAACAATCTGTGTTATGCAGATGACCCAATTCTGTTCGCTGAAATTGAGGAGGATCTGAAGCGCCTGCTGCAGAAGGTCAAGGACCTTCAATATGGATTGAAGCTCAACATCAAGAAAATAAAGATTCTCACCACTGGGTCAATTGGCAGCATTATGATAGAGGGTGAAGAGATCAAGATTGTTAACAGCTTTAGTTTGATTGGTTCCACAATCAACAGTCTTGGTACCAGCAGCCAGGAAATTAAAAGACAAATTGCACTGGGAAAGTCAGCTGTCAGGGACCTCTCCAGAGTACTGAAGAGCAATGATATCCATCTGGAGACTAAGGTGTGCCTTTTCCAAGTCATAATCTTTGCAATTACTTGCTATGCATCGAAAGCTGGATAATGACTAGGGATGAGAAAGAGAATTGATGCCTTTGAGCTGTGGTACTGGTGAAGAGTATTGAACATACCAGGAAAACAAACAGGTTTGTCCTGGAGAGGGTGAAACCAAGCTACTTCTTGGAGGCAAGAATTCTGAGGCTTCATCTGACATGCTCTGGTCATGTTGCAAGGAGGGGCCAGTCCTTGGAGAGGGATATCATCTTGGAAGAGTAGAGGGACAGGGCAAGAAAGGAAGACCCTCAATGAGATGGATTGATTCAGTGACTGGGGTGATGAGGGTAGGTGTGTCAGGGACAATAAGGTTGGCACAGCATATTTCAAGGCTATTGTACATATGGTCGATACGAGTCTCAAGCGACTCAATGGTACCTAACAACAACAAAACAATAACAATCTATTGTATAGCTATAAGGAGTTATATGGTGACATAGTAGATAAGCATTCAGCGGGTAATCAACAAGTGGATGGTTCAAACCCACTGACTACTTCATGGGAGAGAAATGTAGCAGTCTACATGCATAAAGATTTCCACTCTTGGAAACCCTATGGGGCAGTCGTACTCTGCCTAAAGGATTGTCTTGAGGTAGAATCACCTTGACAACCGGTTTGGTATGAATATTTTGTTTATCCACCGACCACCAACTGATGGACTTTGGCTTATTTTCACTTTTAGGTTATATAAACATGCACGTAATAGTTTTGGTGTAGATATTGTTGTTAAACCTCTCAGATTTATTACTGGGAGTGGAATTGCTAGATTATCTGTCTTGAAAGAAGGGCAATTAGGTTTCTCCTTAAAGGCAAAGATGGTGAAATTTCATCCCACATACTTCTGGCACATTATCAAGAGGGACCAGTTCTTGGAAAAAGATATCATGCTGGGAAAGGTAGAGTGTCAGTGAAAGAAAGGAAGACCCTCAATGAGATGGACTGCCCCAGTGACTGCAACAATGGCCTCGAGGATGCTGCAGTACAGGGTAAGATTCTGTGTCCATAGGGTCACTGTGAGTTGCAGCAATGACAACAACAACAATGATAATTATATGAAACACTGGTTGCTATACATTGTAGGCGACTCAACGGCACATAACAACAACATATCATATTGGTTGTTGTTGTTTTAAATTTAAGCTGCTTCTTTAGAGTCAACAAGAACTTGGGGAGGTATTTAAAGTCAGTTGTTATTTTATTTTGGAAGAACATTCTTCTAAGTGGTACACCACTCTTCTGTCAATATGTTGTACTGAGGTAACCTGGGGTTGCTGTGATGCTGAACCTTGTGCCATTGGGTTGTCAAATGCCATAATGGTTACCCATGGTGGACAGTGTATGGTGGAGCTCCCAGTTTAAGACAAGTTTAGAAGCAGGAGTGGCGTCCACTTCCTAAACAACATACCTCTGGAAACTCTACAAACTGTGATAAATGTTGATAGTTATAGAAAGGCTTCAGGTCTTTTATTCATAGAGTCACTATGAGTCGTGCTTGACTCGAAGGGGATCATCATCAACAACAATATGTGAAACATTTGGAGGAACTGTTAAACTCTTTTCCAGAAGGGTTGTATTATTGATTACAGGTCATTTATTTTTATTACTGAGTAACAGTCTCCTGGAGTGTCTAGGTGGCTAAAATAGTTAAGTGCTTGACCACTCCTTGATAGAACTGACCCAGAGATGCTTCAGAAATTGGGCCTAGGGATTAGCATCTGGAAGGTCACAGTCTTGAAAATCCTATGAAGTGGGTAGCACATGCAGTTTGTGTGAGTGCTAATTAATTGGAAGGCAATTAAAATCAACATTCTACCATTAAAATAAGCCACAAATGAATACAAATTCACAATTCCTGATCTTCAAAAGATGTCATTACACAGGAAATATTCTGGGAGAAAATATTTGCAATAGATGTATCTCTAAAGCAATACATCATGTCTCTAAAGCAACACATCCTGTCTCCAAGATATAAGAAGCCCTGGTGGTGTAGTGGGTTAGGTTGCTAACAGAAAGGTCAGTGGCTGTGATCAACAGCCAGAATCCATTTCATGGCAGTGGGCTTGGATTTAATACAAGATATAATAAGAACCCTTACAATTCAATGAAACAAATAATGTGATTTTTTTAATTGGCAAAAGACTGGAAACAGACACTTCACCAAAGAAGATGCACAATTTGCCAATAAACACATGAAAAGATGGTCAATATTATTAATATCAGAAAAATGCAAATGAAACCACAACAGACCACTTTATTAGATGGTTAACTAATGTATAAAAGACCCACATTTTTAAAAAATTTAAAAAAACCCAACCCTGACATTGTCAAGTCTTGGTGATACCTTGGAAATAAGTGGAACTATTTGATATTGATCTTGTAAAATATATCTTGTGAAAATATAAAGTAGAACAATCCTTTTTGAAAACAGTTTGGCAGCTTCTTACAAAGTTAAATACAACCTTATTAGAGACCTAGCAACGCCATTCCTAGCTACCTACCCAAGAGAAAAAACATTTATAGGAATATTAAACATAGGAGCTTTATTCATGATAGTTAAAAACTAGAGTCTTATCAAAAGAGGGGAAATGTGCCTTTTCACAGACACTGATATTTCTTATTTTTCTTGATGTGAGAATTTTCCCATTTTCCCCTGCTGCTGTTGTTGTTACATGCCTAACAAACACATGCCTGCGACCCATAGTGACCCTACTATGTACAGCAGCTCTGAACCCTACCCTGTCTTGAGCCAGTCTTACTCATTCCAACACACCAGCCCCCATTTGCCCCAGTTACTGTATCAATCCATCTCATTCTGGGGTATTTCTCTCCTGCATTGTCCCTCCACCCTTCTGAGCATGATGTCCTTCTCCAAGGACCAGTCTCTCCTGGCCACATGCCCAAAGTATGTGAGATGGACCTTCAAAATTCTAGCCTCTAAGAAGAAACTTGGTTTCATCCTGTCCAAGACAGACCGATTTGTTTTCTTTGCAGTCCATGGTATGTTCAAGACTCTTCTCCAGCACCACAATTTGCAGGCATCGATTCTTCTTCTATCATCCTTAGTCATTGTCCACCATCGCTCGGGTCTTCGAGTCCCAGGCCCGGCAAATCCCCGTGGTGGCCGTGCGTCGTAGCAGGATGGAGAGGCCCGGGACGACGGCCGGAGGAGGAACGAGCTCAGTGCCGAGCGCCCACAGGGCGGCGACAGGCCCCGCTCCACCGACGGCGCGGGACGGACGGGCTGACAGTCCTCGGCTGGACAGACGCGGCCGAGGGCGGGCGGGGGCGGGCCGAGGCCGGGTGAATCCGGCGGGGGAGCGGCGGGGGCCGTCCCGCCCCGGGGTGGCGGCGTTGTGGGGGGGGGGGGTAAGGCCCGGCCCACGCCCCGCCCCGGCCCACTGGAGTGTGGGCTCGGCCCGCTCGGCTCGTCTCCGGGGCTCGGAACCGCGCCGGCGCCGCCTGTCTCGGACTCGGCTGCGGGGTGAGGCCCGCGGAGCAGCCGCTGGGGGACCGGGGTTCTGGGAAGCGGGCTGGGCGGCGGCGGCGCGGGCTGCGGGGCTCTGCCGGCCGCACCCTCCTCCGAGTTCTGGCTTTGGCTGCGGGACCGGGAGAGCGGAACTTCCCCATTCCCACCGTGACGGTCTCCCAGTTCGGGGCCACTGGAACCTGGCTCTGCGCCTCCCGGCGTCCTGGTTACCAGCCAGGGCGGAGGGGCTGAGGGACTCAGGGCTTGGGACTGAGGAAGGAGCTGCATGGTAGAGGAGGCTCCCGGGCGTCGAGGAGGCTGCACGTAGAGGGAGGTTACGGGTCAGCGGGTCAGCGGGAGCCGGGTGTGTGGCGAAGAAGAGCTGTGGGATCTGCCGCTCGGTGGAAACTTTAGGATGGGGGCAAGGTCCCTCGGGGAAGTCCCCTTCCCTGAGGCCTCCTGGTATTGCTAGGAAGGATGACGACCCCAGAGAACCCGTTTTCTACTGGAGGCGACTTGGACTCGAACCAGCTACATATGGAGACCGACGAAATGGACACGCTCAAGGAGGGAGAAAACCCAGGTTTGCTCAATGGACAGCCCTCAAGGAGGGGGAGTTAGAGCCTAGGAATCTATCCTTGCGTTTTCTTTCTTCACAGCTGACCGGATGCACCCCTTTCTGGCCATCTATGACCTTCAGCCTTTGAAAATGCACCCCGTGGTGTTCGCCACAGGAGTCCCGGTCACTGCCCAGGTGGTGGGCACTGAAAGATACACCAGTGGATCCAAGGTGACTGGGCTGGGACCCGGAGGCCCGCAAAAGGAGGGCTGGTACCCGACGGGGAGGCATTACTTCAGTCCCTTGCACCCTCAGGTGGGAACCTGCACCCTGTATTCTGTCCGCATAACTCATGGTGACTTTACCTGGACGACCAAGAAGAAGTTCCGTCATTTCCAGGAGCTGCACCGGGACCTTCTAAGACACAAAGTTCTGATGAGTCTGCTCCCTCTGGCCCGGTGAGGGGGCCACAAACTGTGCCCTTCGCTCTGTGGAAGCATGAAACTCTTCATGCCCATACTTTCTTTATGCCTCTTACCCCCCCAGCCTCAATCTTTCCTCCCCACCCCCCTCTGACCACTAGATACCCTCCTGCTCACCCTGCCCACTGTTCTGTGCCAGTATCTCAGCCAGGCTGAATGCCCTTGGCCGTTTTCCCCTTGTCTCCATTCCCAGGGTAGGAGGCCTCCTTCCTGCCAGTCCCTGGACCTCCTGCCCTTCCCCACTCTCATTCCAGTTCTTCAGGCAGCCAGCATCTTTCTGCTCTCTGACCCTCATTCCATCCCTTCCACAGCTTTGCTGTTGCCTATGCTCCAGCCCCAGAGGCAGCCAACAGAGAGATTCCTTCTCTACCTCGAGTGGGTCCTGAGGGGTCTACAAGACATGCAGCCAGCAAACAGGTGAAATCCGACACCAGGTCCTCGAAGGAGTTTGGTGTGCAGATAGCTCTAGACTCATCTGTCTCTTTTCTCCATCCTCACTTCAGAAATACCTGGAGAATTACCTCAATCGCCTCTTGGCCATGTCTTTCTACAGAAATTATCACGCCATGGTAAGATCCTGGGACTTAATGCCTTGAATGATTGAGGTGGGATATAATCATCCGATTCCCAAGGGAACAGAGAACCAGGGATATCTGAATCTGAGAGGCTGAAGGTAAAAATTTCTCCTCTCTGCTTTTGCCTCGCTCTGCAGACAGAGTTTCTGGAAGTCAGTCAGTTGTCCTTTATCCCAGACCTTGGCTGCAAAGGACTGTGAGTGTCTGACACCCCTCATCCAGCCATGTGGAAACATCTCTCAGGATTGCCTCCTGCCCTGAGAAATGGGCTGGAGTGGTCTGAATTCCACTCCTCTTGGTTTTCCCTCAGGGAGGGACTGATCCGAAAGCGCTCAGGGGGCCACCGAGTTCCTGGCCTCACCTGCTGTGGCCGAGACCAAGTTTGTTATCGCTGGTCCAAAAGGTGAGCAGGACTGGGCCAAGCGGCTGGGTAGTAGGTGGGGGTGAGGGGGTTCGAGAGATATCTGAGGCCAAGGAAGAACAAATGGAGCCCTTCCACTCTAGGTGGCTGGTGGTGAAGGACTCCTTCCTACTGTACATGTGCCTCGAGACTGGCATCATCTCATTTGTCCAGCTCTTTGACCCTGGCTTTGAGGTGCAGGTGGGAAAAAGGAGCACAGAAACACGGTACGGGGTCCGCATCGACACCTCTCACAGGTGAGGCCTTACTGGCGTGGAGAGAAGCTTGGGCAAGTGGAAAGCCAGGCTGGGGGTAGTTGAGTGGGAGGCCACGTGAGAGAGTCACATGTTTCTACCAGAGGCTGACACAGACAAAAAAGGAACGCCACTCATTCATTCATTTATTCACTTAACAAACTTGAGCATCTGGCACGAATCTCCAGGAGGTGCTGGATACCCAGAGACTCGATGGCACACAACAGCAACATCATGTCCTGTTCATGTGGGGTTGTGAGTTAGAAGTTAAGAGAGGAAGTGAAAAATGTGGGGCAGTCAAAGTGGGGAAGTCGCTGGACCAGGCTAGAGGTATGGAGGTGGAGGGTACGCCGTCCATCTCATTGCTCCCTCATTGTCCAGGTCCCTGATTCTCAAGTGCAGCAGCTATCGGCAGGCGCGGTGGTGGGCGCAGGAGATCACTGAGCTGGCTCATGGCCCAGGCAGGGACTTCCTGAAGCTGCACCGGCATGACAGCTATGCCCCGCCCCGTCCTGGAACCCTGGCCCGGTGGTGAGACACTGGCGTCCATCTTGAGCATGTGTCGGGCCTTATCCACCCATTGGTGTTCTCTGACTCTTTAACGCTCTCTTTATCTCCTATAATCTCTTCTGCTTTCACTGAATCCCCTTTGACTTCTCTAATGTCCCTGATCTGATATTTCTGATCTTGACCCCTTTGACCTTCAAACTCTCTGGCCCCTGAACTCTTTAACCTCCTGCGACTTCTTTGACCTCCTTCCCCAGACCACCTCCATGTGTTCTTTCGCCTCTCCTCAATTCTCTCTGGCTGGTTCAATCATATGGTAAATATTTTCTAAATACCTACCGTGTACTGAGTCCAGTGCTAGACAACGACACAGGCAGGCTTCTCTGGTTTCACCTCCAGGTCAGTGGGTGATTCAGTAATAAAACAATGTGAACTTGCCACACTACTGATAGATGCAGAGAGAATGAGCGCAGAGGAGTGCCTGACCCAGCCTGGGGATGTCAGGACAGGCTCCCAGAAGGCCGTTAACTCCTTGTTAGCCTTAGCCAGATAAAGAAAATAGAGACAGTTGTCCAGGCGTGTCTTGGAACTCTGAGGATTGATTGTAGTTGCTGTGGAGGGAGAAGGAGGGGTCAGAGAAGAGTTGACATGTTAGCTGCTTCTGGTCTTGCAGGGCCTCATGTGCTAAACTGAGGAGGTTGAACTTGATTGCAGGCTGGGGAGAGTCATGGAAGAGATTTTTTAATTGAAAGATAGTTTTGAGGTTTTTAGTTTTGGGGTTTTTGGGTTTGTTTGTTTTTTTTAACATAGTAGCTAATACTTAACATAGCACTTATGATATGTCAAGAACTGTTATGCCTCCCATGCATTGATTAATTAAATTCTTACATTCCGCTATGAGGCAGATAGAGTTATCTCCATTTTTCAGATGAAGAAAATTGAGACAGCAGAGGGTAAAAGTCTTGTCCAAGGTCACATACTTTGCAACAGTGAAACCAGGATTCAAATCCAGACAGTCTGGGTATTAACCTTTCTTAACCTTCATACTAGGTCATTGGTTATTATAAGTAAGTCAAACTATAGGGAAGACACTCCATTGCCCTAACTTCCTTCCATTAACCATGCTTCTCTCCAGAAGCAACCCTGGTTAGCAGTTGGAGAGGTGTCCTCCCAGATCTTTTTCTACTTATTTTCATATGTGCATGTACATATACATACACTTTGTTTTAACGTAAATGAGCCCACTCCCCCGACACCTGATACACATTTAGAGAATAGACATTAAAGTTATTACCAGTTTTTCACTCTTCCAGTGTAATGAACCCAGTCTTTTCCCGAGTATTGTATAGAATGTAAGGAGCCCTGAAAGCACAGCAGTTAAGCACTTGGCTGTTAACTGAAAGGTTGGTGGTTCAGACCCACTCAGTGGCTCTCAGAAAGACCTTGTGACCTTCTCCCTTGGGGCAGCATTTCTCTGTCACATGAAGCAAAAATCAGTTTGACAACATCTAACAACAGTGGCTTAGTGGTAAGGAATTGCCAACCCAAAGGTACGCCAGCTACTCCATAGGAGAAAGATGGGCAGAATCTGCCGTGCGATTGACTGCCTCTGAAAACCCATCAAAGGGTCAGCTATGAGTCAGCTCCGATTCCGTGGTACTCAGCAACATCCCTAGAAATAGAATTACTGTGCTAAAGCTATGTTCATTTAATATTTTGGTATATACTGCCAAATTATTCTCTGCTGTGTAACCACTAGGGAGCTCTGGTGGCAGAAAGGGTGAGGAGCTGTGCTCCCAGCCCAAAGGTGGGAGTTTAGACTTCACCAGCTGATCCACAGAAGAGACAAGCAGTCTCCTCCCGTGAGATTTACAGCCTCTGAAAACCCACTGGAGGATCAGCTCTGAGATGGTTTATGTTTATATAGATATAAATGATCTCTATATCTATCTATCTAAACCCATCAGGACATTAGGAAACTCTAGTAGCCTAGTTGCAAGAAGCTGTGCTGCAATCCTGAAGGCATGCAGTTCGAGGCCACCAGCTGCTCCTCAGTAGATGGATAGGCAATCTCCTCCCGTGTGATTAATTGCCTCTGAAAACCTGCCAGAGGGTTAACTATGGGTCAGTTCCAACTCTATGGTATAAACTACAACCACCTACCATTATATATCCCCATAGTCTACGAGACTACCCACTTTCCCATATGCCACTTTCAGGCTACCAATGCTTTGAGTTTTTGTCAATCCAATGGATAAAGTAAGGTTATTTCATTTGTTGTTGTTTACTAGTGAAAAAATCTTTTTCCATGGTTGACCATCTTAATTTCCTCTGTGAATGTTAGTTCTTCATCTTTTGTTCATTTTCTCAGTTGACTTACATGTCTTATTGATCTTTTAGAGTTTTTTTCTCTTCTTTTTATTAATTTTAATGAAAGTTTACAGAGACTTAGGGTTTCCAATCATACATTGTTGCACTTTTCTCCTTGCCTACCCCTTCTCCCCCCCAATTCACTCTTCTCCTTTGAAAAGTAAAAATTATTTTAGAGTTCTTTATGTCTGATGACTCCTCCCAGTCTGTCATTTTCTTTGGTTTATTGTGTCTTCTGTGAATTTTATTTGTACTTGCTCCAAACTGGCAAGTTTGTTCTACTTTATTATGTCAGATACCATCTGACCTCACTTGTTCTCTTGACTCTGCTGTCACCTCTGACCCATGACTGTCCTCGGTCTTCACTCTCCAGAGCTTTCTGACTTCTGACTCCTCTGACCTCCTTGGCTTGGCCTCCCCCCAGGTTTGTGAATGGGGCAGGTTACTTTGCGGCTGTGGCAGATGCCATCCTGAGGGCACAAGAGGAGATTTTCATCACAGACTGGTGGTGAGTGGAGGGAAGGCCCAATCCAAGAGAGTGGGGTTGTGTCTGTGGCCATTGGCTTGTTGGTCAGAGGATGGTGCTGAGGGGATGGGTGGCTGGTTGTCTGTAGCTGTCACTTGCTCCTCACCTCTGTCCCAAATTCCAGGTTAAGTCCTGAGGTTTATCTGAAGCGTCCAGCTCATTCAGATGACTGGAGACTGGACATTATGCTCAAGAAGAAGGCGGTAAGGAGAGTGACCAAGCTGGAGGGCTGTGTGGCTGGGGTTGTTTGTGAATGGAGGGAAGTGAGTATCTAAAGGACTCCAGCATGGGAGGCAGTAGGAAGTCCTCGGGTGAGGCAATATACCCACCCAGGCACAGTGTCTGGCAAGCATCATTCCCCCAGCCCCTTCTTTCCTACTGAGAACCAACAGCTCCCTCTTTATGTTCTCCTTTACCTGGTCCAGACTTTTCACCCAGGGCCTATGCCTCATCTCTCTCACTAGGCGGATAGCTCCTTGGGTGGAAACACTGGCTGTTTTATACCACCAGCTCTAGGACAAGGCACAGTGTTTGCTATGTTTGGGGGTATCCATGGAAGGAAGGATGGATGGTGATAGAGCGTGAATGGGTAGATAATGGAAAGGGAGATCAATGGAAGTTGATGAGGTTGGAAAGGTAGATAGGTAGGAGAATGGGTCGATGCATAAAAGGTGGATCCATGGATGATAGATAGGAGAGTGGATGGATGGGTGCTTAGAAAAGGGTAGGTGGGCAGGTAAGTGGATGGATGGAAGTTGAATCCTAAAGGAGATGGAAGGATAGACGGATGGAAGGATGAATGAGTGGAGGAGCAGATAGGTGACAATCTAAGTTTGCCTGGAGCCTCACAGCAGAGTCTCAAGGATCTTAGGCAGGATAGAGGGACAGATAGGATTCCTGGGCCTGGGGAAGGAAGGGCTTTGGGAAGGTAGAAGCATTCTGGGAGAAGCATTAGCATCTCATTCCCTCACTCACCACAGGAGGAGGGTATCCGTGTGTCTGTGCTGCTGTTTAAAGAAGTGGAGTTGGCCTTGGGCATCAACAGTGGCTACAGCAAGAGGGCTCTGATGCTGCTGCACCCCAATGTAAAGGTACCTCCCAGGCCTCCAATACATCTCCCAATCTGCAGCACTCCTCACCACACTTCCACCTCCCTTTCCATGAGCACCTCATCCTTTCATCTTTCCATTCCTCTTCCCAACGTTTCCCTTGCCTTTCCCTACCTGAAACCCATAAGTTGCCTTGGACTTGTTCCAGGTGATGCGCCACCCAGACCAGGTGACACTGTGGGCACATCATGAGAAACTGCTGGTCGTGGACCAAGCAGTGGCCTTCCTGGGGGGGCTGGACCTTGCCTATGGCCGCTGGGATGACTTGCATTACCGACTGACTGACCTTGGGGACTCCTGTGAGTCAGCCACCTCTCAGGTAACCCCTCCATGCCTTCCTAAGTGTCCCCAAACTCAACTCACCTAAATCCACATCCTTTCCCTGCTCCTGCCTTCCCCCTTCTATCGTTCCAAGCACCATCCACCCTCAGAGTTTTCCAGCTTTTCTAGGACCCCCCAGAAACCTCTATGAAAATACCCAATCCCTCCACCATTTCTCCTACCTCATGTACCCCTGATTTCTCTAGAGATATGAAATGCAGCCAAAAGCAAGGGCTGGAGGGTCAGACTCTCTGTTCCATTCTTCTTCTCTGTGTTACCGATGTCTGTCTGTCCACACCTTTATTACAGTTCTCTTGTCTTAACTACTTTTTAAAATTAATTTTAATGAACATTTACAGAGATTTTGGATTTCCATACATTCATTGTTGTACTTTTCTTCCTGCCCACTCCTCCCCCCAGTTTGCTCTTCTCTTTGAAAAGTAAAATAAAAATTATTTCATTGGTATACAATCACCCTGCCCCCCTCTGCAATCTTCATTCTGGACTCTTGTCATAACTGTAATACCCGATCATATATCGCTTTCAAAGAGTTCTCTCTCTCATCTGTTTCAATGCAGTATACATAATTTATCCAATTTTTCTCAGTCTCACCGCAACCCTGATGTCAGTCCCATTCTACAACAGTGGCACCTTGCAGCCCCTGTCCTTTTGTGACTGAGATATTTCACTCAGCATAATGTCCTCCACGGTCACCCATTTTGAATAATATTGCATGAGTCCCTTATTTTTCAATGCAGCGTAGTATTCCATTGTGTGACTATACCACAGCTTCTCTATTTGTTTATTGATGGGCACTTAGATTGTTTCCAATTCTTTGCTGTTGTGAACAAAGTACAATAAACATGGGCGTGCATATATCTGCCTGGGTGGCAGTTATTGTTTCTTTAGTGTACATTCCTAGTAATGGAATTGCTGAGTCAAATGGTATTTCTATTTGCAACTTTTTGAGAGAGTGCCATACAGCCTTCCATAGCGGTTGCACCATTTTACACTTCCACCAACAGTAAATAAGGATTCCAGTTTCTCCACAACCTCACCAGCATTTGTTGTTTGCTGCTGTTTTAAATTTTACTATTCTTACTGGGGTGAGATGATATCTCATAGTTGTTTTGATTTGCATTTCTCTTAGAGCTAAGGATTTTGAACATTTCTTCATGTATTTGTTGGCCATCTGAATGTCTTCTTTGGTGAAGTATCTGTTCATATCCTGTGCCCATTTTCCAATTGGGTTATTTACCTTTATCTTCTTGTGGTGCTCGGGTATTTTATAAATTCTAGATATAAGTCCATTATCTGACATGTCATTACCAAATATTTTTTCCTCTTGTCTTCTCTTTGGCCTGGGCTCTGCGTGGCCCATGACCCTCTCCTCATCCCTGGCCTGAGTGTGTTCTTCTTACAGCCTTCCACCCCATGCCCAGGATCTGCATCCACCCCAGACCTCTCTCACAACCAATACTTCTGGCTGGGCAAGGACTACAGCAATCTTATCACCAAGGACTGGGTGCAGCTGGATCGACCTTTTGAGGGTGAGGGGAGCCCCCACTCCAAGAGCCCCTAAAAAAGTGGGAGTAGGAGCAGAAATTGGGGCTGGGGCTAAGGATGAGCTGAAATGAGATGGGCCATGGTCAGGCAGCCCCCCATTTGGCAGGCACTTTTTCCTCCCTGCCCCAAGTGGCCTTGAGGGGCCAGTACTACACCCTTCCTTGACTCTCCTGGGACCCCCAGATTTCATCGACAGGGAGACCAAACCCCGGATGCCATGGCGGGACGTTGGGGTGGTAGTTCATGGCTCCCCCGCCCGGGACCTTGCCCGGCACTTCATCCAGCGCTGGAACTTCACTAAGGTGCTCTTATGCCCTCGGGGATGCTGGAGGGTGGGAGGGGGACAGAGGCAACTGACCACCTCGCTCCAATTCTGCCATCCTCCTCAGACCACCAAGGCCAAGTACAAATCATCAGGGTACCCCTACCTGCTGCCCAAATCCTGCAGCATCACAAGCCAGCTCCCCTTTGTTGTCCCTGGGGTGCAGTGCGCCACCGTGCAGGTGAGGCAGCCCCCTCCTCCAACCCCCTGGCCCTCCTAACACCCCTTTCTTTGCCCCTCTCCACTTCAACTCCTCAGAGAAGAGGAGGAACCTTCTCTGCCACTCGACATTCACTGCTTCCCTCAGGTCTTGCGGTCAGTGGACCGCTGGTCAGCAGGGACCTTAGAGAACTCTATCCTCAATGCCTACCTGCACACCATCCGGGAGAGCCAGCACTTCCTCTACATCGAGGTCAGACTGGAATTGGATGTGAGGAGAGGGTGGAGGGGATGGCCCAGAAAGGGACTTAGGATGTTAGTGAGGTTCCCTGAGGACCAGTGTAGCCAGGGCTGGGCAGAAGTCTGGGCCCGAAGCCAGAGCAGAAGCCTCGGGCCAAGTCAGGCCTGCAGCCAGAGGTGGGAAGCCTGGGAGCTGAGGAGCCTGACTGCTAATCTCTCTCTCTGGTCCTCCCCCCAGAATCAGTTCTTCATCAGCTGCTCTGATGGGCGGACGGTTCTGAACAAGGTGGGCGATGAGATTGTGGACAGAATCCTGAAGGCCCACAAGTAAGGTGGTCTGGCAGGAAGGTGGGGACCATGGGGGTGGATTAAGCCCAAGCAGAGAGGGTGCTGTGGATCACTCCTCTGACCACCCTTCCTCCCAGGCATGGGCAGTGCTTCCGTGTGTACATACTGTTGCCCCTGCTCCCCGGCTTTGAGGGCGATATCTCCACTGGTGGTGGTAACTCCATCCAGGCTATTCTGCACTTCACCTACAGGTGAGTCCTGCAGCCCATCTCTTGATGACCTTAGTCTGCCCAGCCCTCTCCTTACTCTCCTCTGATTCCTTCCTGCTGGATCTTTGAGGCCCACCTCTCTCCTGACATCCCTGCCCCTGCCTGTAACTGCTTCTTCCTTTACATTTTCTTTCCCTAAGGACTCTGTGTCGTGGAGAGTATTCCATCCTGCATCGCCTCAAAGCATCCAGTGAGTGCTGGGGGCTAAGGGTTGCAGTTCCGGACTCCTGGAGAGGGAGAAGTTGAGATTCAGGAGGCATGGAGGGTGGAGTAGGGGAGAGAGAGGCTACTTACTAGAGACAGAGACCACTGGTAGCCTTTTGCTGCAGGGAGAGGTACATAGACAAGACCCTTAGAAGGTCTTCTGAAACCAGGAGGAGAGTACCAGCTGCATAAAGGGTGCATGTTTCACCTAAGTTACTTCCCCTTCTTGTGCCCAGTGGGGACAGCGTGGCGAGACTACATGTCCATCTGCGGGCTTCGCACACATGGGGAGCTGGAGGGGCACCCAATCTCAGAGCTCATCTACATCCACAGCAAGATGCTCATCGCAGATGACAGGACAGTCATCATTGGTCAGTGCTGGAGACAGGCCCCAAGCTCTAAGAAGGCTGGAGGGGTGGAATAGAGTCCAGCCAGGGCCAAAGAACTGAGGCAGTGGGATGGTGGAGACTGAAGCTGAGGCCCAGCTGTGTATGGACTATCACCAGTGCGCTCTGGCAGAGGTGCTGGGGTGCTGGTCCCCCTGGGCCTGGGTGCACAGTCTGTCCTGCACCCACCCCAGGCTCTGCCAACATCAATGACCGAAGCTTACTAGGGAAACGGGACAGCGAGCTGGCTGTGCTGATTGAGGACACGGAGATGGAGCCCTCCCTCATGAACGGTGCAGAGTATCAGGCGGGCAGGTTTGCCCTGAGTCTGCGGAAGCACTGCTTCAGGTAAGGCACGGGACGGTGCTGCAGGTAGAGGTCGAGGGCTGGGGGTAGGAGAGCTAGCTGCCTTTGATCAGAAGTCTGGGGGGCTTAGAGATGGGATTGGGTTTCCCATTAGGCAAACTAAACCAATTTAGGGCACCAGCAAAGTAGGGACACCAAAGGAAGAGAGAGAAACTATTTGAAAAATAATTTCATATTTGAAAATATAAAAATAAACAACAGAGACAAATAGAAACTCTGTTGGCTCCTTTATACTCATTTCACTATGACCTGTTGGAATGCCTGTTGGAATGTTCTGAAGAGAACAAGAGGATTTTCCGTCTGCTCGGAATGACAAAGCAAAATACTACAATGAAATTTGCGAGGAGCTAGAGTCAGAAAATCAAAAGGGCCGAACTCGCTCAGCATTTCTTAAG